TCATTTAAGCCGTAAATGAGCTGTGGTTTTCCCTGAGGTTTCCCACTCACTCCACGCCCGCTGGACACAGTGCAAATAACTTCTCTGCAAGAAGACTTAGAGAACAAAATCTTGTTTTCTTGCAGGCAAATCCAGGCCTAGCTCAGAAGTGTCCCAGCCAGAATTATACGGCAGAAACCTGACATCCCGGTTTGAGTGAATTGCGGTTCAGAGAAATTAAATTGAAGTTCATTTTCTCCACATTAGTTTTACTTCTGTCTCTCTGGAAACTGAAACCCTGCAATGTTAGTTTCTACAGGGGAAGGAGAGATTGGGAAGGAAAGGTGATAGCAAGATGCTCTGCAGAGAGAGCTCCGGGAACTGTTTTTAAATTATTAAACGTAAGGAGCAAAAAAGTCAAGAGATGGGGAGCTGGGCAGAGAGAGCAGGAGGCAGTGAGTGTGCCTGCTCCATCCTGGAACACAGAGGGTGCGTTTCTAGTCCATCCCTAATTAGACTGTTCTTCTCTGTGGAGATACTTGATTTCCCCCAAGGTTTAGGGAGCTCGGCTAGGTAGAGCATTCAAAGGACCTGCTAGAATTGAACATGTGTATGAATTGCCCCATGAGTGGGAACAGGTTTAACACATGATGTGCTCAGCCAGCAGGACCCAGCACATAGGCAGGCCCTGCTCCACGGGGAAGCAGGACTATGTGTGAAGGAGCTGGTGTTTTTTTACGGAAATTGAGGGGTAAAAGCAGGGACGAGCATGCAGCAGCAGAAAAGCCGCTACCGTGAAGAGGGGCTCCTCATGGCCGGGCAGACTACCAACCGGCAGGGAATCCACCTGATTATGGCTAAGCAGATCCAACAAGGCAGATCCACCAGGAAAGCCACCTTGCCCCTTCCCACGTGCTGACTCCAGCACATGTCAGGCTGGTGGAGCTATCTCTGCAGAGACCTGCTGCTTCCTGGTGGCCGAGCAAGCTGAAGCGGCTGGGTGCAGACGACAAAGGGGTGGAAGTATTGCAAGGAAGGGGAGAAGGTAAAAGGGGCAGGAAGCTATTAAATTGGCTCCAAGTGCAATGTAGGTGCTACTTCTCTTTTTCTAGCAGCCAGCAATGAGACAGTCGGACCAGTCATCTGCTATGCATCAACGACCACCAGGAGCTGCTGACACTGACGGGAGCTGCGAAGGCTGTGCCTTTCTGGCATCACCCAGGCGCGCCTTGCAGTCTGAGGACTGGAACCAGGACACTCCTCACCTGATTCAGCCACTGAGTCACGGACAATGTGTGGGTCTTCAGCCTGGGTACGTAAACATCTGCTTTGCATCGCCCCTGCTCCAGCACAGGAGCCATCCCCAAGTGACATGCTCCGCCTAAGCCCACCTCTCCTCTCCTCTTGGCCAACGAGCTTAGCCCCTTCTGGGAGCTGTGCCCTGGGTTTGCATTTATGCATTTCTCCAGCAGAAAGTGGTCTTATAACCACGCACAGACAAGACTTCATCTTGCAGATTCTCCTCGGAAAAAATAAGGCTGACCTGTTCTGATTTTAAGGGCAGGAAAACCACCATGAGATTATCCGGTCTCATTAAAGAAAGCACGCAACCGATCATCTTACAAATCCAAGCCCTAGAACCCCCTGCTAAGCAATAAGCAGTGACAGATCTG